TCTCTCTCTCTCTCTCTCTCTCTCTCTCTCTCTCTCTCTCTCTCTCTCTCTCTCTCTCTCTCTCTCTCTCCCTCCCTCTCTCCTCTCTCTCTCTCTCTCTCGCTCGCTCTCTCTCTCTCTCTCTCTCTCTCTCTCTGTCTCTCTCTCTCCGTACACCTCTCGGTCCCAAAACCATCAGTCACTCACTCGGGCAGTTCTCTCCCCATTCTTCTTCCCTTTCCTCATACTCTCCCCTCCCCCATTTCCCCCTCTCTCGCTCTCTCGCACATATCTCACCTTTCCCTGTTGCAGACGTCGCTTGACAAGCTTCGAGCAGTTGATGTTCACGGCACCGTCGATGTGGAACGTATTGTACTCGAGGAACGTCCGACTGTCGATCAACAACACCTGCGGAACAACACAACGTTAGTTCTCCGATGTTCCGATGATCCGGCCGTTCAGATGCGGTGTTCCGTGATGGAAACGTTGCCCGCCTGTTTGCCAGTGCCTTCCCCATCAACAATTGCATCGAAAACATCCTCGTGAGAAGGTTTTCCCTCTTTTTGACTGGGGGAGGAGGCTACAATTAAAACACACATGACTGCGTGCACGATGAGTGATTGCTTCAATATACGTAATAGTTAGGTTTCAAGCAGTGCCGGCCCAGTGGGTAGATTGGCAGAGGGGGTGAGGATTACAGCCACATAATCGTCATCAGCCCCTCAAAACCACATCAAATACGTAACCATAGCGCGTCTACAAAAGCAGTGTTTCCAGACAAGTCAACTAGGCCCCCCCCCCCCATCTTTCAATCAGATTGCCACCCTTTAGAAGAAGCTTCACTTGCCCTTGAAGTACGTTTACCCCCTTCCTCTTATATAGAAATTCTAGATGATAAACTCGGGCGGTAATAACAGCTTTAATGAGGTTTGCAGGTAGCAGTAGAGTAAGGGGGAGATTACAGTGAAGGTCTCCCACATGCTAAGGTCTCGCTCGCTGATGACACATTTACATATTCCTCGAGATACGAACATTAATACGACCCTATATTAAATACTGTACCTTATAGTTATACTTCATGTGTGGGGTGGGAGTGGTGGGGTAGTAGGTAGGTGAGCAAACCCATTTCTAGTTCACAGCGCGTGTATTCGTACCACACATCAGAAGCAAATAATAGGATTTACATTAACCAGAAGTGTAAATAATCTCACAAAGAGGGATTAATGTTTACACTTGATATAACGTAACGTCGCAGTTGAAAACAAAATCATGTTAACGGCGATTCGGCGGAGCACGGAGTAATCTTTCGAGACCTCGCCACAGACGGTTCACAGCTGTTTTCAAGGCGCGAGCTGGTAAATCACTTCCCTTCTCATATACTCGCAACGTTAGACTCTAACTTAGAGGGGGTACTATCGTGTGTACTGTTGCGCAGACGTATTTTTAGCAACACCCAAATATCGAAATACTCTGCAAGGTTTTTGCGCGTGATCTTTTGCACTTTCTTCTTCTTTGAATGATATTCATCGTAACAAATACGGTTTAATTGCAAAGATCAAAGCTAGTCAAGCTATGGAATAAGAGGGGGGCACGCGCGAGAGAAGAGAAGGGGCGTAATGGAAATGAGAGCAAGAAATAGATAACACAAGATCAGTAGAGACAGTAAGAGTAAATACGTCAGAGCGGGTGAGAGCGGGAGGGACAGAGAAAGAGAAAGAGAGAGAGAGAGAGAGAGAGAGAGAGAGAGAGAGAGCTATGCTCTACACTCATGCTACTAACACTCAGGACAAGCCAGGCTGCGCGACTCATGGCAATACACACGCGCTTCTGTACAACATATATGATCGTTGTTCAATGCTTTTCTCTTTCAATGTATGGCCTTGGTCTTGATGCATGTCCGTTTCTTGGAGCCATAGCTCGCACTACGGGGCACAACTACATACGTAAGCTCTTTTAGCAGCAGCGCAGCGTGAAAAGGCGACTGCAGGGAAAACTGTAATTGTACAATGCTAATTAAAGAGAAATGTTTAGAATGCAAGGGTTCACATAACGAAACAGAACGTAGCATACGGAAACGTAACGTACTATAAGCGTGACACGCGAGGCTGTATCATGATGTAGCACGACATTCTAACGTGAGTTAACTATGAGATTGCGTAGAGAAAAAATGGTATGTGTATTTCGTAAGTTGCAGAATTTATGAGGAATGCGTGATTTTACGGGGTAGACAAAAATACGAAATGCTACTTAAATGCAATAAATACAGTAGTAGTGCAATTATTTTTTTATAGCCGAACATCATTATCATAACGTGAACGAGTAGTATAATGCCAGACAGTAAACAATAAAATAGCAATAAAAAGCGCCCAGTCACTGTTCGCGGAAGGGGGGATGTACTAGGGGGCAGCGTGGGGGTGGGGTGAGGTGGGGATCTCCGTAATCTCTCTCCTGCTACCGGTTATGACATCATCATGACCGGACCGTTGCGGCGGCGCATGCGTAGGCTGTACGTGCTGCGGGCTGGACAAAATAAGATGTAGTGTATGGTGAGGGAGAGTGTATAGTGAGGGAGAGTGTATAGTGAGTGAGAGTGTATGGGTGAGAGAGTGTGTATGGTGAGTGAGAGTGTATAGTGAGAGAGTGTACGCAAACGCACACACGCATGTACGCACTTAATCCCGCATGCGCGCACGCACGCACGCACGCATTTAATCACGCACGCACACACGCACGCACGCACGCACGCACGCACGCACGCACGCACTCACCCGCACATTACACACGTACCTACTACACGTGCATTACCCAAGCCAGCAGGAGCATATTAGCGGCGCGTGCGTGCGTGCGTGCGTGCGCGCAGAAGCGGTGGCACTCGCACATCGCCATGAATGAGTCAGCCTCGCGAGTAACCGCGCTGCTGCTGCTGCTGCTGCCCATGCTGCTGCTGGTGTTGCTGCTGGTGTTGCTGCTGCTATTGCTGCTACTACTACTGCTGCTGCTGTTGTTGTTGTTGTTGTTGCTGCTGCTGCTGCTTCTGCTACTGCTACTGCTACTGCTGTTGTTGTTGTTGTTGTTGTTGTTGTTGTTGTTGTTGTTTTTGTTGTTGTTGTTGTTGTTGCTGCTGCTGCTGCATCACCGATCGCGCCTAGCTCTTGCTAATAAACACCATCCATACCAACGACACAGCGAGACGGCGTGTCGCCGCAATGCCCGCTCGCTCTATATAGCAACAACGGACGAGGTGTGTGGAGGGGGGGGGGGCGTGCCTGCCTGCGTACGTGCGTGCGTGCGTGTGTGCGTGCGCGTGTGTGCGTGCGCGCACGTACGGCCTGATTAATGCTCGCAGCGCATGACGTAATTCCATTCATGTTCGATAATAACCGGGTGAAAAAGGGGGCAGCGTGATTGAGTGGTGCATTATCGAATAGGATGCGAGATATGAGTTTAGCGACGAGAATTAGGGCGTGTGAGGAAGAGGACCAAGAGAAGAACGAAGGTGGTTTCCAAAACTGAAACACAAAACGCCCTAACCCCCTACGCACGAACCCTCCCCCATTTTAACCCCTACCAAAGCATGACCCTCCCCACGACACCCCCTTCCGGCGTCCTACTGAAGAACAAATCCTTATCCCCTTCCAAAGTGTGAAACCCTCCCTTAAACACAACTAAAGCGCGAATCAACCACCCCTTCAACACCTACCCAAGCACGACAGGTGTACCCACCCACAGTGTCCTACCCACTCCCCCGCCCCTTATTCACTAAAAAAACACAAACCCTCCCCCAGCAGCGTCCGTAATGATCGTACGCCGCGGAAAAATCGAAGACGGAAGCCGTAAAAGCTATTTGGAGTCGCGAGTAGGGATTATCCGTGCAAATCGCTGAGGATGGCTTCGCGCTTCAGTATGGTGTCGGAGGGGGAGGGGAGGCCCCTTTCGCTCTCTCGCGCACTTTCTCTCACCCCCCCCCCCTCTCTCTCGCTGTCCTCCTTTCGCTCTCTCGCGCGCGGAGACCAATAATCGCTGCGCGGCGACACGTGACTCATGTTCTCAGGCTTTACGGGCTAAGATGCGGCGCAGCGTTCCGTGTGAGCCGTCGCCCGAGGTGCTGCGGCAGGGCCGGCGGCAGGACAGCGAGAGAGGGGGGGGGGTAGAGAAGTGCGCGAGAGAGCGAAAGGGGGAGTAAGAGAAAGTGCGCGAGTGAGGGGATTAAGGATGGGAGAGAAAGATAGAAAGATAGAAGGAGAGTGTAGTAGGAGAGATAGAAAGAACGATAGAGAGAGAGGGAGAGAGGGCGGTGAGAGAAAGTACGCGAGAGAGGGGAAGGGATGGAGCGAGAGAGCGAGCGAGAGATAAGGAAGGTAGGGAGAGAGAGGGAGAGAGAGCGATAGAGCGAGAGAGGGAGCGGGGGGAGAGATGAAGAGAGAACAAGAAAGGTTGAGCCTGAAAGAGAGAAACAGAGAGAGAGAGAGGAGGATAGATAGATAGATAGATAGATAGATAGATAGATAGATAGATAGATAGATAGATAGATAGATAGATAGATAGATAGATAGATAGATAGATAGATAGATAGATAGAGCGAGAGAGAGAGCGAGAGAGAGAGAGAGAGAGAGAG